GAGACAATTTTCTGGTGCAAGTGCTGGAGGAACCAACTAGGGGCAGAGCTCTTCTTGACCTGCTGCTCACAAACCAGGAAGAATTAGTAGGGGAAGCAAAAGTGGATGGGAATCTGGGAGGCAGTGACCATGAGATGGTCGAGTTCAGGATCCTGACACATGGAAGAAAGGAGAACAGCAGAATATGGACTCTGGACTTCAGAAAACCAGACTGACTCCCTCAGAGAACTGATGGGCAGGATCCCCTGGGAGAATAACATGAGGGGGAAACGAGTCCAGGAGAGCTGGCTTTATTTTAAAGAATCCTTATTGAGGTTACAGGGCCAAACCATCCCGATGTGTAGAAGGAATAGTAAATATGGCAAGTGACCAGCTTGGCTTAACAGTGAAATCCTTGCTGATCTTAAACACAGAAAAAGAAGCTTACAAGAAGTGGAAGATTGGACAAATGAGCAGGGATGAGTATAAAAATATTGCTCAGGCATGCAGGAGTGAAATCAGGAGGGCCAAATTACACTTGGAGTTGCAGCTAACAAGAGATGTTAAGAGTAACAAGAAGGGTTTCTTCAGGTATGTTAGCAACAAGAAGAAAGTCAAGGAAAGTGTGGGCCCCTGACTGAATGAGGGAGGCAACTTAGTGACAGAGGATGTGGAAAAAGCGAATGTACTCAATGCTTTTTTTGCCTCAGTCTTCACAGACAAGGTCAGCTCCCACACTGCTGTCCTGGGCAACACAGTATGGGGAGGAGGTGAGCAGCCCTCAGTGGTGAAAGAAGTGGTTTGAGACTATTTAGAAAAGCTGGACGAGCACAAGTCCATGGGGCCGGATGCGCTGCATCCGAAAGTGCCAAAGGAGTTGGCAGATGTGATTGCAGAGCCATTGTCCATTATCTTTGAAAACTCATGGTGATCGGGGGAGGTCCCGGACGACTGGAAAAAGGCTAATGTAGCGCTCATCTTTAAAAAAAGGGAAGAAGGAGCATCCGGGGAACTACAGGCCAGTCAGCCTCACCTCAGTCCCTGGAAAAATCATGGAGCAGTACCTCAAGGAATCAATTCTGAAGCACTTGGAGGAGAGGAAAGTGATCAGGAACAGTCAGCATGGATTCACCAAGGGCAAGTCATGCCTGACTAATCTAATTGCCTTCTATGATGAGATAACTGGTTCTGTGGATGAAGGGAAAGCAGTGGACGTGCTGTTCCTTGACTTTAGCAAAGCTTTTGACACCGTCTCCCACAGTATTCTTGCCAGCAAGTTAAAGAAGTATGGGCTGGATGAATGGACTATAAGGTAGATAGAAAGCTGGCTAGATTGTTGGGCTCAACGGGTAGTGATCCATGGCTCCATGTCTAGTTGGCAGCCGGTATCAAGTGGAGTGCCCCTAGGGTTGGTCCTGGGGCCAGTTTTGTTCAATATCTTCCTTAATGATCTGGAGGATGGTGTGGAGTTTTAGGTTGGATATTAGGAAAAACTATTTCACGAGGAGGGTGGTGAAGCACTGGAATGGGTTACCTAGGGAGGTGGTGGAATCTCCTTCCTTTGAGGTTTTTAAGGTCAGGCTTGACAGAGCCCTGGCTGGGATGATTTAGTTGGGGATTGGTCCTGCTTTGAGCAGGGGGTTGGACTAGATGACCTCCTGAGGTCCCTTCCAACTCTGATATTCTATGACTCCATTAGTCCCTCAATAAGGAGCTTGGGCTTCCTTAATTCCCAACCCCCCACCTTCAGTTGCCTGGGGAACTCTCCTTTCCTCCTGGCTTGGGTGCTGTTGACTAGGGGCTTATATGGTTTCTCCTATGGGCTCAGTCTTTTCTCTTATGAACATAGAATGTGTCCATGGGGATAGTTGCTTCAGAAATCATACAGTGAGGCTTCGCCAGCTCCCTCTGGACAAGGGAGCAAGCTGAGGCTGTATCCACAAGGCCACGCTGGAGTTTCCTCCTAGTCCCAGCCCAGCCACAAAACTCAGCAAAACCACAGTCCATATACAGGCAGTCCCTTTTTGTGTGTCTCTGTCACCCACACTAATAACATGTAACGGGTTGAACCCCAGCCAGAACTCCTTGGGGTTCTTCTTTCTTGCTCTCTACACCCTTTCCTGCTGTGTGTTCTCCAGTATTCCTCCCAAGCTCTAGACCCTTATACGGTTGTCCCTCTTTCCCAGAAAAGTCTGGCTCTGTGTATTCCTCAGTCAATTTCACAGCTGCATCCACTTTACCTGGTCGATGCCATCTAACCCACGCTCACAGGTTCTTGGGGAGGACTTGAAGGAACTGTTCTAGCCCTAGAGCATCCATTATTTCCCCCACTGCTTGGGTTTCTGGTCTCAACCAGCAGGTGGCCAGTCTATAAAGCCTTGGGTGAATGCCTGGGCCTGTAAACGCCCAGTCCACCTTGTGGATCAGAACTTCTGGTGGTACTTCTCAGTGGACAGACTCGCCTGATCCAAGATGGTTGCCCTCATCACCTCATAATTCCTGGCCTGCTCCTCACTCATAGCCATATAGGCCGCTTGGGCTTCCTTTGCCAGATAGGGAGCCAGCCGCAGAGCCCAGGTTGCTCTGTCCCAACCTGCACTCATAGTGATCCTCTCCAAAGTGCCCAGGAATGCATCAGGGTCATCTGCAGGGCCAATCTTATGTAGTCCTAGGCCCTGTATCCAGGCATCATCCCCCACCATGGGACTCACCACCTTCTGTAGGAGCTGCTGCTGCACATTAGTTTGTTCCCTTATGAAATCTTGCAAGCTATTCTGTTGCTCTGTCTGCCAGGTAAGCAAAGCTTGCTTTTCCATGTTGGTGGGATTGTTCAAATCTTTGCAGGGTCTTCCGCATTTCTTCTTACTGTTTTACCAGCCATTGCAAGGTCTCCTCCATCATCCAGGCCACGAAACCTTGTGCTGGCAACAAGCCCCCACATGTCGCAGGCTTACTTGCTCCTGCCCCTGCTCAAGTCCACATACCTCTCAGATTTCAGAGTAACAGCCGTGTTAGTCTGTATTCGCAAAAGAAAAGGAGTACTTGTGGCACCTTAGAGACTAACCAATTTATTTGAGCATGAGCTTTCGTGAGCTACAGCTCACTTCATCGATGAAGTGAGCTGTAGCTCACGAAAGCTCATGCTCAAATAAATTGGTTAGTCTCTAAGGTGCCACAAGTACTCCATACCTCTCAGAGACGTTCAGGCTGATAAAACATCCAGTGCAGTTTATTTACAATGTTGATTCCCACCACCCTTGTACACCATTCAGCCTTATTCCCACAGACTTTGGGAGCCTTCAGCCCCAGAGGTAAGCGGGGAAGATCAATCTCTCTCTCCCTACTTCCTTTTTTTGCCTAGTGGCTTAATTAGCCTCCCAGCTCTCCTCCACCCCCTTTCTTCCCCTCCTCCCCCATTAGGTAGGTACAGTTCTTCTTAACGAGGTCTGTTTTGCAGTGTTTAATTGAAGCTCAGTGACCAGAAAGCTGGCTCAGCTGTAATTGCCCAGCATTCTCTCCCACCCTCCTCCCTGAGGGCCTATCCTTTCTTTAAAATTTTGTTTATTTCATCCCAATCCCAAACTGGGCACAGTTCTTCCTCGCTGAGGGTCTGTCTTCCTGCTCTCTTGGCACTTCTTCCCTGGAGTTTGGCCTCCTCCACAGGCTTCCTTTCTGATGCTTGTTAACTCTTGGCCCTGAAGGAACCTTCTTATTCCCTGCAGTGTCTGCAGGTGTCGGCCTAGCCCACCTACAGCTGTCCTCCCCTTTATAAGTTCCCGCTGCCTTTCCTTGAGCCCAGTTGGGCAGCAGGTAACCAGTCCAGATCTGCTCCCTTTATTGAAGGACCCAGTTACACGTGGCAACAGTTTTGCATACCAGTGAAATATACTTTTAAAAAAGATGTTAACAATCTCTGACCACTCCTGGCTCGATCCATGCTCCAGCAAACTTCTATAGTAATTGTGACATGAGCAGCATAATACTTTCTGGGGTTTCATAACAGAGCAGAGCTGTTGGACCTACATTAAGAATGAAAACAAAGTCAGTTCCGAGGTGCAAATCTTCAGCCTGGGCCTCTACTTCTGAAGGTGTAAAATTCCTTGTTGACATTATTGTGCCTCTGTAAATATGTATATGCGCTCTTGAACAATGTTTACACTTGCATGCACACGAATGAATGAATGAATACTGTTGCAAATTCTAACACTTGGGTACTGTCTAGTGTGCATGTGTAACTGACAGGACAGTCTGACTCCTTTTAAGAGTACCAATGTAGGAGTTTTTAAAGTGTGTTTGTACCTGTGAATCTGTGTTTGCATGTGCTCACTTGGAAGTTACTGAGAGGCCTGGCTGAAAAATGTGGCCTTTAAAACGTAATGCGCTGAATCACTCACTTAGCCTGGCTAAGTTTCCAACATATATTGCAATAGATGAGCATAAGTTATGTCAAAAGTTTTACAAATGACCTTTAATTATTAGGAGCAATCATGTTTACACATTCTGCTGATCGTTAAACCAGTTATAGAGTAGAATAAGTGTTAATTTATAATTCCTTTCCTACTTCACTGTGAAAAAGAACCCCTAGTTCATACTGCATGTGGCACTGTGTAAAAGGAGGCAGGTTTTTAAAAATGTGTGCAGTGAACAAGTTGTCATTAACTTGCCAACCTGGAAAATGAAATGTATAGAGCCTTGGCAAAAAACAAGTTGTGTTCAGCCTGAATAACATTGCTACTGTAGCAATGTATGTCATTACAAGGACTTCAGAAATGGACTTCCATGACCCTAAACTTGTTAGAGTGTCAGATCATTTGTGTTCTCAGAGGGCGAGGTAAAATTTTAATGGATAATTCAGTTTTCCTCATTTGCCAGTTCAGAGATGTCTGGCTGCAATCTTTAGTTATCGTTCTAATTTAAGCCTCTTGCTGGTAACTTTAAACATATTTATTCCCAATTAAAAATAATTATACAGCTTTATGGAGAGCTTAAACTAACTGTGTCTTTTGTTTCCTTCGTTGAAGAGCATATGGGTTAGTACCTATGTATTTACAGTTTGCTTTGCTGCTAACGTGGGACTATTGTATGGAGTTGTCTGCACTATAGTTATTGTGATTTTCCGCTTCCAAAGGTGAGACATCATTTGTTCTTGAAATGTTCTAGAAGCAAATCTTTGTGACATATATTGCTCCACTCTCAGTATAGATGTACAATACACTGGGTTAAATAATGAAACCTCATTTTTTGTAACTAACAGAAAATTGTAGATATAGGGACACTAAAAATGAGTGATTATTTTTATAATGCCCTAACTACTAAGTACAATAATGGCCTTGAAATGCACTGCTTGGAATGTCTTAATGCTCTTATAAAAAGGAATGTACACTTACAAATAAAAAGAAAACCAGTCAGACCGGTACATTTCCTGGACATTAAAGAATTCTAAAACAGTTTCATAACGTGAAATTATTTTATGATTTTTTAAAAATAATTACAAATCTCTATGACACATAAACCAAAGCTAGGGTAAGATCAATAATAAGATCAATACAAATTTCCTGCCATTAGAGCCTTTTTTTGCTCACTGAAAAGTACAGGGTATCCGGCAAGCCTTAGTTACTGAGTGTTGTCATCAACCTCTAGCTACTGTACTGAAGGAGATGCCAGCTGACATTCTACACATTTTAAAATGTTGTAATAAAAACCAATAGGAAAACCATTCCAGTGCCTAAAGAAAAAAAATCCACACACTGAAAATTCTGTGTATAAGTTCCAAAAAATAAACAATGGGAAAAAAACTACAAATAGCAAATATTAATATGTATTATTTTCACAGTGCAACTAAACAACTATGCTTAGGTTTTGAATAAAGGAAAATATTCTTTGAGGTCAGTGATCCTCCCAATGCTGGTAAACCAATGAACTTATAAGTTACCAACCCCATGTGACGGGTTGCCAGCATGCATGCAGAACTTCATTGAAGTTAAGTACAGTATAGAGAGCCTGATTCAATGCATGTTGAACTAATGGGGCTCCTGCTGGGTATGGGGTCTGTCCTTCCAGAATGATTTGCATGATGCAGGATTAGGGTGAAAATAGGATAAAAATGCTCAGTGATTATAATTACAGTAGATGACTTCTGATTGAATTCATCAGTGCAGTTTTGGCAGCCTCCTGTTTGAGATCCACTGATGACCAGCACTGCATAAGAGCTAGAAATTACTTATTAATGAACAAAATGTACATGTTTGGAAAGTCCTGTTAGTAAGGAAAAGGCCAAATTCTGATTTCAGTTATATCTTGTGACTGGGTGTTTGGTTTTCCACAGGGGGGAATTTGGCCCAAAGTTTGGCCATAAGTCTGAACCAACACCAACTGAAGTCAATGGGAGTCTTTTGAATCAGGTTCCATGTGATCATCATTGTAATAAGGATGATGAAAGGCAGAAGGTCCCCGAGCCCTGAGGGACGACTGGTGCCTCCCATGCTGGCCGGGGCATGATCTAAAGGGGAGGTCACGTGTCCCCCCACCTGCCAACCTCGCCCTGGGGCCACCACTCTCTCCCAACCCACATTACCTGCAGGAGGAACACTCTGTCCTCCCACTGCACCTAGCCCCTCTCCTTCCCCACGGCAGGCAGGAGCCCGGGGGGGGGAGCAGGAGGGAGCTGCTTCTAATGCTGGCTCCTCCTGGTCACTGCTCTGCAGCCCGCAGCTGCCTGAGAGAGCCTGGTTGGGGAGGCAGCTTCTGTTCCCTGCCTGGGCTCGGCTGCCGGGAACCACTGCTGAGTGGGCCAGAAACGTGCTGTGGGGAGGGAGTCTCTAGCTTGCTCACCCCCCAGGCACCTGAAGCTGGGCGGTGCGTGGAAGCCACTTCCCCAGCCAGGCCCTCTCAGGCAGCCCCAGCCCGCCACACTGCAGAGCAGTCTCCGAGTGGCTGGAAGAAGCTGGTCCTGTCCCTTCCACTCCTGGCCTCCCCGCCCCTTCCACTCCCTGGAATCTGGGGCACTTGCCCTGGGCCCCCCACCCCACCTAGAATCATAGAATATCAGGGTTGGAAGGGACCTCAGAGGTCATCTAGTCCAACCCCCTGCTCAAAGCAGACCAATCCCCAATTTTTGCTCCATCCCTAAATGGCCCCCTCAAGGATTGAACTCACAACCCTGGGTTTAGCAGGCCAATGCTCAAACCACTGAGCTATCCCTCCCCCCACAGGACCTCTTCCTGTCCCCGCTCCACTCCCACACCACTGCTTCCCACCATGTTCGGCCTCCCCCCCCCTTCTTACTGCCTCCTGTCCTGCCCCTCCAGCACCTCGTGCACATCGCTGAACAGCTGTTCTGCAGCAGGCAGGCTGGAGACACTGTGGAGGAGGGGACGCGCTGATCGGCAGGGCCCGCTGCTGGCAGGAGGCGGAGCAGTGGCTTAGCCAGGTGGAAAAAACAGGGGGAGCGGAGATTAAAAAAAAAAAAGGCACCTCCCCCTGGTACTCACCCGGCGGTGCTCTGGGTCTTCAGCAGCACTTTCGCGTGGGGTGCTTCACTGGCTCCTTCACACTGTAAAAGGCGCCAAAGAATTAAAAAGGCGCCACTTGGGGTCGGTGAGGGCCTAGCTACGCTACTGGGAAGGAGGGCACCACCAGTGGGTGTTGAGCACCCACTATTTTTTTTCTGGGGGTGCTCCAGCCCTAAAGCACCCTTGGAGTCAGTGCCTATTAATATAGTATCAGAGGCATAACAGGAGTAACATTTACATAATTGAAGATTATTATTTTTCAAAAAAGTCCCATTTTTCTTATTTTAAAATTTCTGTACTTTTACTTTTCAATTTAAAGTAATATACTATAACAACTTTTCAGAATTTAAAGAGGCTACAGAACCAACCTAAGCCTATCTAGCATTTGTACACTTGAAGGATATTTTTCCTAGTAACTGGCTGTCCTGATTTTTATAGAGTGATTACAATATGAAATGTACTTTAAACATGCAAAAATATATATAGCAATTCTATTGTTAGAACACTGTAGCTCTCTATGTTATATTTTAGGCCTGTATCTCTACCTACCCATATTCAAGATTACTGATGATCTGCTTTACAGCTTTTCTCCCTGTATTGGTTACAGAGCAAAGACACTGAGTTTGAAAAATATGAAAGAAGTGGAATGTGAATTCAAAACAGAAGCTGATTGTGTAAGTGTACTCTTCCTCGATTCTTCTGTCCCTTATTAATCTATATATTTTTTATCTCCCATAGTTTGTTACAAAGGTTATAAGAGTAAGTGCACTCAAAAAATTACAATTACATGGCCATTTCTAAAACCAGTGGAAATATATGCCATGGAGATCTCATGCTTTGGGTCTCTTTATGGGTTTCTATTATGTATGAAGAATATAAAGTTTATGTAAAAAATTAAGGGTTCTAGTCAATGGTTATCTTTGGTTCCATGGATATGAAATTCTGTGAATTTCAATTTATGGAAGTTCATCTTCTGTTGGAGTTTGTCTCTCATGGGAAAAGCTGCCTGAGTCCCACAGGTTTGGGGGGATCTACTAGTGACCAGTGGTTTCCAAACAGTTACTACTTGTCTCTTTCCTTCTGTTTGATTTTCTATTTCTCTGCAACCCTTTGGCACTCTGTATGTGCATGAGCCCCTTCCCAGCCATGATTCAGTCCCATCTGCTCATCCTGAGCCTGATTTTTCACAGTGCATCCACATGTGGTGGGAAAAGGGAGGTGGGTTGCATGGAGCTGGCACAGACCACTTTAAACACCTCTCAGCCAAGATCACCTTGGTCAGGATGCACTTGAGAAGTAGATGGAATGATCCTACCTCAAGAGACTGTTTTCTGAACTTGCATTCTCACCTGTCTTTTATCCTCCCAATCACAGATTGCAAATTTTTTGCTTATTTTCCATTATAGTTATGATTACTTTGTATTACAGTAGTACCTGTGGGTTCCAGGTGAGATCAGGGTTCCATTGTGCCAGGTACTCTACACATACAAAATCAGAAACACCCTGCTCAAACAGACAGACAGACAAAAAGTTAGATGGGAAACAGAGGTGCAGTCAGGGGTTCTATAACAGTTTTTATTGTGTCAGTGCTTCGAGCCATTGATCCAAACTGTAAAGCCTGTATATAATGGAAACCACTTCAAGCCAGAGGATGTGGCAGCACTCCCCTCCCCCTCGCTTCTCCAGTTTGAGCACCTATGGGTGCAGTGACATGCCCAAAATCAAACAGCACGTCAGTGGCTGTGCTAGAAACAGAGCCCACCTCTCCAGATTCCTAGTCCAATGCCATATCTAATAAACCATTCTGCCTCTCAGTTTCTGCTGTGTCCACATGACTTTTCAAGTATGCATCCATCCAGTCTTCTTAATAGTTCAGTTAGCAACATGCCTGACAGTTATTACCTCATTAGTTTCAGAGTAGCAGCCATGTTAGTCTGTATCCGCAAAAAGAAAAGGAGGGCTTATGGCACCTTAGAGACTAACCAATTTATTTGAGCATAAGCTTTCGTGAGCTACAGCTCACTTAATCAGATGCATTCAGTGGAAAATATTTTGGGGGGAAAGATGTTTCCAAGTGGGCTCTTTCCCTGTTCTTTGTGTAACACTGGTGGTGGCAGCATAAGGTCCAAGGACAAAAGGTAAAAGTTTGTACCTTGGGGAAGTTTTAACCTAAGCTGGTAAAAATAAGTTTAGGGGGTCTTTCATGCAGGTACCCACATCCGTACCTGAATGCATCTGATAAAGTGAGCTGTAGCTCATGAAAGCTTATGCTCAAATAAATTGGTTAGTCTCTAAGGTGCCACAAGTCCTCCTTTTCTTTTTACCTCATTAGTGAGACTCTCCCATTCAAATCATTCATTTTTTGATATCTGAATTATGTCTTGAATCTGGGTTATCTTGGACTAAAAAGTTGAGAGTTTGCCCAAGAGGATTTACTATTTGGCACGCTGAAACATTTTGAGTGACAAGGCTGAAAACAATGGTAAGCGAGAGGGAGGAGGATTCTAAAACACTAATTAAAAACAATGGTGTGACACCTGTCCCAGTTGTTGATTATTAGATCAAATTTCAGTATTAAGAAAAAAAAAGTTAAAGGAACTTTGTTAGAGTTACATGACCCAAAATTTGATCTATATTTCTTTCTCTTGAAAAATATTTTTAAAAATTCCTTATATCTCCTCTTTTCTCCAAGTCTCTGCTTTAGCTCTCTTTTTTCCTAAATCACCAAGAAAGATCAATTCCTGAGAACATACAACAACAAACTAGCATACACACAGTGGAGGGAATAAAGTTTTAGTAAGGAAGCAGAGTTCTCAAGATTTTATTGCAAAAAACAAAGAGGAAAAACATTTTCAAGATTAAGAAATCTGCCTTGGCACATGCCTTTTAACTTAATTTAGAACTGCTGGGTTGCAGTTGTTTACAGTGAGTTTTTAAATGTGTGAATGCTGGAGTTGTTGAGGCTCCCCTTGAAAATGACAACTTAGAGATAAACAGGATACTTAAACATGAAAATATGCAAATTTAATCAGCTGTCATACTATCAAGGTACTGTGGATTTATAGGGATTATTCCATCAATAAGCAAACAGAAACTTCAATATGGAAAAAAGATTGAGAGAATGCTTCTCAAAAAACATATGTGAAACATGTCACATCACAGACACTGTTAAGATCAAACTCTTGCCAAAATGTATCTGGTGCTGAGTAATGGATGCAGCAGCTGTGGATGTCCTTAGGAAACTAGTGAATAGGCTGCTTCAAACAGTTTTCTTTCCTCGGGAAGGATACATTGTAAAGGATCTCAGTTTTTCTCAGAATGATAGAGATCAAATTTTGAAATGCATCCAGAATGCAGATAGAACTAAACCAGATCTGAATTTGTCACAGTTCCCCTCAACCATGTCCTGAGGAAAAGTTTGATTTTGACAGGGTCTCCTGGTTGGTATTCTTGGACTGGGAGGGTTTTGGCTATAATGAAATACTAAAATGTATTATACTGTTCAGCCACTAGGTAGTGCTGTATGTAACATATCTTATTTAAGCTAACCTCAGCCATTCTTAGGTTTCAGAGTAGAAGCTGTGTTAGTCTGTATCCGCAAAAAGAACAGGAGTACTTGTGGCACCTTAGAGACTAACAAATTTATTAGAGCATAGGCTTTCGTGGGCTACAGCCCACTTCATTGGATGCGTAGAATGGAACATATAGTAAGAAGATATATGTATATATACATACAGAGAAGGTGGAAATTGCCATACAAACTGTAAGAGTCTAATTAATTAAGATGAGCTATTATCAGGAGGAGAAAAAAACTTTTGTAGTGATAATCAAGACGGCCCATTTAGACAGTTGACAAGAAGGTGTGAGAACATGGGGAAATAGATTCAATATGTGTAATGACCCAGCCACTTCCAGTCTCTATCAAACCCAAGTTAATAGTATCTAGTTTGCATATTAATTCATGCTCAGCAGTTTCTCGTTGGAGTCTGTTTTTGAAGCTTTTCTGTTGCAAAATTGCCACCCTTAAGTCTTTTACTGAGTGGCCAGAGCGGTTGAAGTGTTCTCCTACCGGTTTATGATTCCTGATGTCAGATTTGTGTCCATTTATTCTTTTGCGTAGAGACTGTCTGGTTTGGCCAATGTACGTGGCAGAGGAGCATTGCTGGCACATGATGACATATATCACATTGGTAGATGTGCAGGTGAACGAGCCCCTGATGGCGTGGCTAATGTGATTAGGTCCTATGATGGTCTCACTTGATTAATAAATATGTGGACAGAGTTGGCATTGGGCTTTGTTGTAAGGATAGGTTCCTGGGTTAATGTTTTTGTTGTGTGGTGTGTGGTTGCTGGTGAGTATTTGCTTCAGGTTGGGGGCCTGTCTGTAAGCGAGGACTTGTCTGTCTCCCAATATGTGAGAGTGAGAGATCATTAAGGAAATTATCTCAACATTATCTGATTCTCAAGTATTATGATGTGAACAAACCCACAGTGGCCAAGGTTGATGCAAGCAGCTATGGCCTAGGTGGTGTATTGTTGCAACAACATGGATCTGGGTGGAAGCCAGTTGAAAGTTGCTCACACACACTAAACAGAAGCAGAAAAACTATGTGCACAGATTGAAAAGGAGTGCCTAGCAAACGTATGGGCATATGAGAACTTTTACAGATATCTGTGCAGATTGGATTAATTTACACTTATAACAGATCATAAACCACTGATCAGCAGAAAAGAACTGGATTAAGTGCTGTTGAGATGCCACCATATATTGAAAAGGTCAATTCAGTTTAATACAATTGCTAAATACGTTTCTGGGAGAAATCTAATAGTAGCAGACACTCTCTCATGGAGCTTAGTATTGTACTCAATTACTCATGAGCTCAAAAATTATGTAAAGGATGTGGATGCTATGGACTCATGCAGACCAGTGTCAGAAAAGTACACCTGCATTTTTTCATGTTCTGTGTGTATATAAATCTCCTCACTGTATTTTCCACTGAATGCATCCGATGAAGTGAGCTGGAGCTCACGAAAGCTTAAGCTCAAATAAATTGGTTAGTTTCTAAGGTGCCACAAGTACTCCTTTTCTTTTTAAAGAATTATGTATACTTTTACAACAGGCCTCACTCAGTTTGAGAACTGCTGGGCCCAGAATCTGGTGACTGTGTTTGTGTCAAATTGGATGGAGAAAAAGGATAGACAACTCCAGCTGTAGTAAAGAAAAATAATTCATTGCCAATATCCTATGCTATTGAGAACAACAGACTTGGAGAGTTCAGTAGAAACCTTCAACATCTGTGGCGTGTCCCTCAAAAAGAACAATCAACAGAGCAAACTCTATAGATGGTGGATGTGGAACAAGACGACGACGACTTAGAGATTCCATACCAACAGCAGCCAGTCAGTGCAACTAATGGACAGTCAGACGATCAAGCTGTGATGCGTTTGGGTCATGTAACTAGATAAGCAGTATGATTCAGAGACTAACAGACTGATCCATATTGAACTTCAAAGACAGCATGATAGTGTAAATTTTATAAATGGTAAGAATGTAGAACTTAAAGGGACTGATGTAATGGAATACTAAGCTGTACCATACTGTTCAGTCTCTAAGTGGTGCTGTGTATAACATGCCTTCTTCTTCAAGTACATATCCCTGTGTGCTCTCAAACAG